TGTTTTAGTCGGTTTTAGTTAACTTGAAAAAAAGTTATTCTGATCGAAAGTTATGACATACGCCTGCATACGTACAAATTATTTTCATTGTTATATAGTGAAAGTGCTATTCCATGACGACTAAATACTCTTTAAAATACTTCCTTGTACGGCAAACTGCAAGCGAAATTCTCAAAATCGTTCAAAAATGACTTAAAATCGTTGGAAATCTCACGAAATCTATGGAAAAACGTATGAATTCGGTAATTTCGCGAAATCCGGCGAAATCAGTGAATTCACTTGAAATCTTTGAAATCCGTGGAAATCACCTGAAATCTTGTGAAATCATGTGAAATCTTTGAAATCCGGAAATCAGGTGTACAAAATTTTTCGGATTTGGGGGCCCCTCGGTCTTTTTAAAAGCAATCCAATTGTGATGTCGGATACACTTTACACTGTAAGGAGATAACGCCCAAAAACCTAGGAGGTGCCCATTCGATTCCCCGTCTCAAAATAAGGTAGTCGGATTAGTCGACCCGGGTCCCTCCTGCCGGCCTGACCACATTGTGGTCATGAAATGCAGATCCCTCCTGCCGGCCTGACCACATTGTGGTCATGAAATGCCGGTCCCTCCTGCCAGCCTGACCACATTGTGGTCATGAAATGCCGCCGCCCCCTGCCGGCTTGACCACATTGTGGACATGAAATGCCGGTCCTCCTGTCGGTCTGACCACATTGTGGTCATGAGGTGTCGGTCCCCCCTGCCGCTTTGGCCACATTGTGGTCATGAAGTGTCGGTCCCAGCTGCCGCTTTGGCCACATTGTGGTCATGAAGTGTCGGTCCCAGCTGCCGAGCTGGCGTCACATTGTGGACATGGTCCTGACTGTCCCGTGTGCCGGCCTGACTACACTGTGGACATGGCGAGGACTGCTGCACTCCCCTCCTGCCGGGCTGACCACATTGTGGGCATATCGGCCGCTTTTTATGCCCTATGCGACCGGCAGACCCTCAAATCCACTGGTCCCTGCTGCCGGGCTGTCCACATTGTGGCCATTGCCTTGGTAGGGGCTGAAGGAGCCGTCTGACCTGTAACCTGGAATTGCCTGGAATTCTTACAGGTTTCTTCTACCTAAAGCCGAAGAGAGTAGCCCCCTAGCCCAATTCCCTGACTTTCTAAAAATCTTTGAACATTGAACAAAAAATGCCCACATTGTGGACACGTCGGCAGTAGGGACATTTGGCCATGACCACAAT